GATGATGATGATGATAATGACTGATGGTGATGGTGATGATGATGATGATGACTGATGGTGATGATGATGATTACTGATGGTGATGATGTATGAGTCTACGACAACAACAAGAAATTTATTCAAATGTATTTTCTTTGGCTTAATTTTTGTCTCAAGTGCCATGCTGTTGCTCCCAAAAAGAATTGCTCTTCTAAGGCCTCAATCAATTCTCTATACAAATGATCTCTTGCGTTTACAAGCGAGTTATACCAAACATTAGCATGATCTTTAAGATATGATGGAAGGCCTAAAGCCTTTTTCTCATCATTCCAACCACAATTCCGCAATGCGATCAAAACTTTTTATAATTTCGTTAACATCTTCGCTCTGATCAACGCTAAATACAGGAAAAACTATCTGTCCCTTAGGTACACTGTTCACTGCTAACATCCGATTAGTCAAAAGGTTCACAAGCGTTTCGTCAGACATTTTTGGACCTACAGGCGTTACATCATCATAAATATGACTCGAATCATTGGAATACTCAGATGCCGTATCACCAACATTAGGCAACTCCGGCGGCATATTAAGCTAAGGTTTAGCAAGAGTTAATGACTTAAAAGAAAACTCTTGAAGGCGTCGACTTAGATTATGGTCTTACAGAATCCTTATCATTAGCTTCGGCTTCAGTAGCCTTAGGTTTAGCTTTTTGCAACTTGGTAAGCACGTTTGCAACAAAAAGAAAACTACTATTTAGAAATAGTTGTATTCGTAGATTCAAGCCTAGGTCTATATATCTATAACTTAATTTCACTAAATGTTCATGTTATATGATTGGGATACCCTCTAGTTTCTTCCAAATCCAAAGCACTGACCACCAGAGAATCAGTGAAGCATACTTACACAGCAGCTGACTAGAAAACTTCGGTTCTCCACCAATTTGTAAACACTCGCCCAAGAGAGAGGTACCGGGTCAACTGTTTTTATTACTCGTCAGCTCTTCGTCTACTTCTTCTACTTTACATGTTTCAGATCTTCCCTTTATATATTCTAAACCCGTGGGAATTTCCCACGGTATTCTACAAAAGTTACGTTAATACTGAGTAAATAAGAGATATATAGATATAGATAAAGATTAAAAGATTATAAGGTATTATTAAGATATAGATATAGTAAAGATACATAGTTTTGACTTTAACTCTACTAGTTGTGAATTGTGAAAATTGCTCCATGTAATCGCGCCAAGCTTGGTGGACACTCAAACATAGCCGGAATCGGTCTATTCCCATGCGCATGTTGAAAGACGCAGCCCCTGTAACAGCTAAACCCACTGCGCATCACGTCAACCTTACGGCCTTTTCTTATTACTCCAGAATGGAAGAAAGCCAAGGGCGGGGATCTTTATTTTTAAGTCTCTGGAAAGAAAATGTGCAGTTCAAACACAACTATTTACATTCCTCGCTGAAAAACAACGTTTTGTCAATACAGTTTATGAGGATCCGGAATATGGCGATAATTCTACAGCCCACGGGATCAAGATCGGTGAAAACTTAAACTTCAAGAAGAATAAAGCCGGCGTAGTAAATTTAGTAAATATATTCGGCCGTTGTGATCGGTGTGATGCTGACTAATATTGGCTGTATTACCCACCATCTTTACCAACGTATTGAAAAACACAGAAACAACATCTTCATGAGCATAGCATTGGAACAACAACAACAACAAAAAGATAAATAAATAAGATAAAATAACAGCAACAAAGGCTTCAGTTCGATGTTACAATAATTAAGAAATGGCAAGCAATGCGCAAATTGTCATTTTGGTCTCACAAAAATAAAAATAAAAATGTGATTAAAAAAATATTGTAAAAAAATCTTGGTCTCTCTCGAAAGTACGCTTGTGATGATTTTTTTGTATACGTGAAGAAAACGTTCATTTTCTCACTTATATTCTTTTAAAAATTCTTAGTAAAAGTGCTGAAAGGCACGCATGCGCGAACGTTTTTCTCTTCTATACCCTGAAGATGTACCGTACAAAGAGTAAAATCTGATGGGTAAATCTTGTCTACTACCCTTCCGCTGGTTTATTCGTACCACGATGTTCGGTAAACCATGGTTATCAGACATTTTTGATTTATGATTTATGATTCCCCCCATGAGGGAAGGGACACCACAACTCCTCTTGTTCCGCAGGTAACCCAGGGTTAGACATTCAAGTGTTATCGGGGGATGATAAACTGTAGGTCCCGTCTTGCGTCACAGGTAACACATGATTAAACATTCAAGTCTTATCGGATATAACAGACCGGGTCTTATACCACAGGTAACCCCATGGGTATGACTATACTTCGACACCTCGTTTATGACGATATTTCTTGACTTTGGTACACGGGCTACAAAAAACACGAATAACAAGATTTTATATCAAGTTTTGACTGACTTTTTGAGGTACAAAAGCTGATTTAGTAACGCCCCCACAAGGGGAGAGTTTGGGCTACCTGTGGTTAATCATCCATCAAACCAACATGGATGTTTTCGTTGCACGGGCCCTCACACCATGTGGTCTGCGGAAGTACCCAATTCCTAATGCGCGGAACAAAAAAAAAAAAAAAACATGGCGGACTTTATTGCCGGTTTCCTGTGGTTTGTAGATGCCTCTGATCGCTGTTTACGTTACACAAGCTGTAATCAGATCCGCGCTGTAAACTAATAGGCGATTGAATTCAAATCAATAACCGTTGGTAACGCACTCTCTAGAAAAGTTCTCTTCTTTTGACTAGTATTAGAAAGGTCGTTACACACCACAGGAAACCCATAAGAAGCAAAACATCCCGTGTTTGGTAAATCCATTTAACTGTAAAAAGGCAATTTTGGGCTGCCTGTAAAACCTTTAAATATCAAATTTTGAACATATATCATCATTGCTTTCTGTAAAATACCTTATAATGTTCATAATGTAATATTAGACGAAGTTTGAACTCTGGTCCCACTCACTAAGAATTTTTTTTCCCAAATACTTAAATCTTGTGAGTGGGGGAATTGGAGAGTTGTCTTTGCTTTGTGCTGAGGCAATATTCTTTGCTGATTCTATCCTTCGTTATGTATATTGAATACAACTTGGGATGGCGTGGGATAAGACTGGATAGAATTCCGGAATTGAATTGGATGAGTGACATGAATGACATGGCGGATTAGAGGGAGGTGTTGGAGGGGATACTGGAAGAACATCTCCCCGTTCTTGATTTACAAATTAGTAGGTACTTGAGTGACTATGTGTTCATATTGTCAAATAAATATACATTTTAAACGCATCTATTCTACTCCATCATGAACTTAGAGTAACATATATATGTCAATCATCATTTACATACATCATTCCCTGCCTTGTTCCTGCCTTCTGTTATCATTAGTGACAAAGTCAAGCTTGATGATCAATTAAATACGCTAGATAAGTGGGTGTTGAATTGAATTGTTCCTGGCTTGACCTCATGCCAAATGTATTTTACTCCACCAGTATTTTCCTCACGAAATATATATTTGCCTTCATATCATTATTCTTTTTAGAATTTTGTCTTTTTTGCTCCAGAAGTAATATTTATTATCTCACATAGAATAAATACTGGGTGTGTTTCGATGGTGTTTATTCCTAAAAGAACGAGGAAACTTCCCGGGAGTCTTGCAGTAATTGTGTGCATGTGGATTCGTTCATAACTCACGCTTGCCGAAGACACTTGTTTGTATTAAATCTGTTATCGATGTCATAGTTTATCCTCAATTCAAATGAAGAGTCTATCGGCAAGCTGTCTGTTAAACGAGCGAAAACTGAGAAGTAGTTGAAAATTTTTATGCAAGCTGTACTCTCTTCTTTTAACGCGACTTTTGTAAACAAAATCATTTAGTATTCAACATAAAAGAACTATAAAAACCACGTTGATGATTCCACTTAAATTGCTTATCAACGCTCGGAAACACTGTATCTTTTAATAGTCTCATTTAAAGATTAGCCGAGGAATTGTCTTACTTAAACATCTTTATGTCAAGGACCTAGAGGATTATGACTATCTAGCGGCATATCGCTAACCCTAAAGGCCGCCATCCAATGACTGAAAACTTCCAATAAAATATGCATAATAGGATTATTTGCACAAGGAGACGGAAAAAATTGTTAGAAATTTCGTCTTGCTATTGTTATTGGGCTGATGTCGTGCTGGTTTTTATCAACAGCTGTTCGCATCAAGACAAATAGTAGACACTTTCAAGCAGTACGAATAGCAAACAAAAAATCCTCACTTAGAGCAGAAAATGGCCTACGCAACGGCTCTATATGATCTACCATCAGCTATTATTGGAGTGTTGATAATAGTTGAAAATATCATCGTCTGTTATATTGTTTATCGCTTTCGAAGCTTACGAACCTGGACCAATGGATTTATCGCTTCGCTGGCCGTATCTGACATTCTGTTTGGAGCAATTTTGGTGCCTTTTCATATCATCGATGAAACAGCTCCTGCTAATGGTTACCTCATCGCCATGGTATTACTAGTCAACATCACAAATTTACTTTCTACGACATTTGACAGATATCTAGCTGTGTTGAAGCCATTTGTTTATGTGACTTTTATGGGGAAATCATTTCGTCGTATCGTTATTACAGCCTGGGTATTACCTATAGTCATTTCTCTTTTACCATTGCTTTGGCACGCGAACCCAATGACTACAATCCACACCGTTTACTTATTTTTTGTCCTAATTTTAGGGATTCTGATCCCATACGTTCTAATAATTCTAGCGTACATAAGAATTTTTCGGGAAGTTATCAAACAAGTTCAAAAAGTCGCTAAATTGTGCGGTGGCCGTGACAGACATACTTTGCGAAAGCGACGAGACGCAGCAATAAACGAAGGGAAAAGACTCGCAACTGAGGCTAAAGTGGCCAAAGTTTTCGCTGTAATTACAGCCATTTTTGTAGTGGGTTGGATGCCCTTAGTTTACATGACAATAGTGGGAGCTCTGCACAAGATGGAACTTATTCCATCATCGCTACCAATCATTGCTTGGTATACTCTTTGCTTCAGTACGCTCATTAATGCCCCGATATACGCGTACTTTAAATCTGATTTTCGAAGTTCCTTCAAAAAGTTATTTATATGCAGAAAGGAAGAACGCTTATTGCGCTCGCTTGAGTTCCCAAAGGAAAATGGGGAACCGGCACGCAACAAACAACTGACTGTCTCATAGCTACATTATACGGCTTACGTATTATACGGCTAATGCGTATCTCGTTCAGTATGGAACAGAAAATAGCCAGTCTGCTCTCACTGAAGCCAACGAAAGTTTTGGTCCATTGAATGATGAATAAACCTTTCTAATAATGAATTTGCATGCAAATTGCACCAGTTTTGACAATCTTTGCAATCACCAGCAATTTGTGAATGAATGGTGGTGAAGCTATAGCGAAGAAAGTAGATATATACGAAGAATGATGACAGTTTGAAAATCAGCTAGTATTCCAGACCAGACTGGAATGATGAACCGTTGTGGAAAATTATCCAATAACGTATACGTTTTCTATGCTACTAGAAGGCCTGTTTATTTCTGTTTGTTGAAAGGTTAAGACACATATTTACTAGGGAGCCAAACCCGGTAACAAGATAAATTCCGTTGAGTTTGCCATGCCCTAAATTTCAGCCCAGAGGCTGTTTCCGGGGTTCCATTTGTGAGCTGGCCATGACCTGACTTGGATCAGCCCAGAGGTTGTTTCAGGGTTCCATTTGTGAGCTGGCCATGAACTGACTTTGATCAGCCCAGAGGTTGTTTCAGGGTTCGATTTGCTGTGAGTTAGCCTTGCCCCGCTGACTTAGAACAGCTTAGAGCARGTTGTTTCGGAGTTCGATCTGGCTCTAAGTCCTGTTAATCATGGCATAACGACTTGGATCAGTAATGAGAGCCCAAAATAGGGTAGCAGGTTGCTTCAGAGTTCCATCTGGGAGTTAGGCATAAACTGACTTACCTAGATCGAACAAAAGGTTGTTTCAGGGTCCAAAAAAATGCTTGAAAATTTTCTGAAAACCGCATAACAAAGAATCTTGATCATGTTATTGAAGATGGGATAAGATGGGTGATTATATACAGGTAATATACACGTATACATTAGCCTCGTCAGTGGCAGGCGTTTCGTCCAGTGACTCAGGCACTTGTGGTTAAATATCGTCATATATGGACAACATTATTTTAGTGATGCATTCAACTGCCTACGCCTCAGCTTTACGGACAAATAAAACTATTGTTTTGAAGTATTTTTTATTTGTGGTTTATGGGTACTTTGATTAAAGATAGGTTCACTTGTCAATGCTTGGTACTCGAGCGGCACTAAATTTATCGGCACTAGGTTTATCGAAGGAAAACCACGTTTACTGATGACAACAAAGCTAAGTAGGTATGTATAATGCATTTGGAAAACCAAAAACTTTATTTTACCCAAAACAATTAAACCTCAAGCCGATTTTCATCTTTTTTTAGTATTGATTAAAAAGTTTATCATTAGCGGCAGTGTATCCTTTCATTTTGGAAGCCATTACTCTATCAGACAGTCAGCTCATAAGCTCCGGTTAAAACCTAATCAATTCCGTTGCCATTGGCTAATAATGAGACTTGCATCATTAAACTACATCAGGAAATACGTTATTTCTATAACTTAGAAATCCATTTTCCCTCGAGCAATTGTTGGGATCGTCATCAGCCTTACAGCTGTTCTCAATTTATGTGTATGAGCACAAACATTTGTTTGCAAGTGCGTCAGTATTTATACTTTATTTCAATGAGTTTGACAAATATATTTTTTCCGCGAGTAAAAGACTCGTCATCACTTTCCTGTTTAGCGCAGAAATTGAAAAGAAAAGAATTTGAAAAGCACAAAGATTGATTGTTAGTGGTTAGAGAGGCGTGTATGCAAAGATTAATCAGATACATTGAGGCGGAACTCTTACAAAATATAGGAATATTTACAATGCAGAACCACTTCGTGCACAGCCGGTTCATTTCAATCATCGAAAACAAAACACTTGTGAATGGGTCATGACTGCTTGGCACTCAAGAATGATAAGATGAAAATTAACTTTATATAGACCGAGTTGTTCTAGCAGACAAATATTGATGAAGATGAAGTTGTTACTGATTTTGTCTTTTTAAACAAATAGATTAACTTGCTTTTTTTCATCGAATTATCAGGTTTGGTATTTCAAGCAATTTAATTTTCATCTTCAATGAATATGCCTGCTGAGAATGTGGCAAGTCTCGTTGTGTCAAGTCGGTCAATTTAAGTGATTATAGCCGATCGATTTTACTAAATGTTTCCACAGGGAACCCGACTTTCAGAGCCTGTTTGATTTCTCTTGGGTAACTTTGCACTTAGTGGGTTTTCTGTGGTTTTGAGATCGATTGATGCATGACCTATGTTCTGATCCAGATTGTAATTAAATAGGCAATTAAATTCAGATTAATAACCGTTGGTAACGCAATCTATCTAATCTTGCCATGCTATCCACTAAGCAATCTTTGATAAAAAGTGCGTTACATCTAAACACCACAGGCAACCTATAAATTAATTAGCCGAGTGTGGATTTACAGTCAAGATGAAGGGGTGGCTGCAATGAGTTTATGTTCACTGAACAGATCTATGGGATGGGGCGAGGTGGTTGTGATGGGCTCATTAATGAGTACTTAAAAGGACTGTGGGGGAGTGGGAGGGGTGGTGAAGGAACCAGGTCGGATCATTAAAAAATAGAAAATAGAAAAAAGGCAAACACGTGTGGGTCTAAAATTCACTTTAATTAATGCTGACGTATATTTATAGGTTTTCCTATGGGTTTCACCTTTGTGGTGCAAATAAAGTATTTGGACAGGGTTAGCGAGCTAAAACATAAAGAAAAATCGATGCGCGCCAAATGCATGTTTCTTAGCTTTATTTGACTTCCTGTTTCACTTTATTTATTTATTTATTTATTTATCTATCCATTCATTCATTCATT